TGGGGCAATAAACGTAACGTTGCCACAGAAAAAAGAATCCAATCAAAATGCATTAATAACAGGAGAATTAATGCCTTCTTGCGCCGTGTTCGCTGTGATAGCCGATATTGCGTGCATATGCACGGCCAAACCGAACGTACCCGTACCGCTCGTAAATGGACTAATTACTCGCAATTACGCAACGCACCGACTCGCAGCGCGGGTTTCTTCTCCGTCATTAGTTCTTCGTATTCCCAGCGAATTACATAATAATATTCAGCCGATGGGCGTCGAAACGTTAAAACGACCGATTTAGATCTAGCATGGTAGCTGCCTTTCCTTACCGATCTCGATCTTAAAGTATTTATTAACGCCACTGACAGGTCGTAATACTTATTTATTCCGTTCCGCGTTAAATAATTTCTATTTTAGATGGCCCCTCCATGTATTGTCAAGGAAACAAGAATTCTTTGGAATGCGATATCGAATTTCACGGGAAAGTCAATTTTAAAACTTACTTATATACCGTCGTAGGTATATTAGAACTTTTCCATATTTTCGTTCTTAAAAGACGAACTTTTTTCGTCGAATTAAGTGGTTAAAGCTAGATTTTATCATCACCTGAAAAGTGAGTCTCTTTTTATTCGCAAAAGGACTGAGAATTTCAGCCCTTAATGCTATTTTCAATCATGCTTCGTATCATAGTTTAAACACTTAGTATGTTTATTTTTATATTCTTAACATCTACCGAGCACTGAAAGAATTCAGCAAATTTCAATTTCAATTCAAAGATCCAATATAAAAATTGAACAAATTTTAAGAATGAATCTTCATTAATTACCAGAAAAGTATCCAGCAAACGTTCCACGTACCTAACAAGTGCGATTAAAAGTTCAAGAACGACAATACTTTATACCCTGAAGATTGAATAAGAGACATCATCATCGAAAAAAGTAACACAGACGTATTCCCTAACACCTCAATCAACTGAAACAAAGCAAGACCCGTCAGTGAAGCCACATCAAAATTGATGTCGTAATTAGAAGTTCCTCGGTGACCGCAGGAAGGCACGTTGCAGATTTTCGCAATAGATAATTGTGTCCGCGATATTCGAGCACCGATGTACAGGCGATCCGATCGCCGCGAAGTGAAAAATGTGATCGTTTATCTGGGACGAACGCGAGGAACGAAGAAAGAGACACGGAAAGAGAAAGAGAGGGACAGAGAGAGAGATCATCGCCGTCAAGATCGAGGATGTTCGGTGACACGCGCGAATATATCGATCAAACCGGTGCGCCGGCTGGTTCTCCATGAGAGATAGAGCTCCGCGCGATGTCACGTCGTCCTCCCGTCGTCGGTCCGCGTCGCCCATTATCCGCGTGCACGCGTTTAATGGGATCGCGGACCTCTCCGCTCGATCGTACCGCTCGATTCCAGCGCGCGGTGCGCTTGTCTTCTCTGGAACCGCGGCTGAACTTGATGGCGATTGCGTCATCGAGTTGTGACCAGGCTGTTTCTACATCTAGACGGCTCGACGACTACGTCCACGCTTTTAGCCCCCTCAGCTACCTTACTCTCGTTTTCTCCGCGTTTCTTCTGAGTCTTTCTCTTTTACAGACCCGTATTATTGGGTTGATACGCAAATGAGGTCCGCTTTATCCGATTAATCGTAGTTCTTTTTATTACGCAAATAATGTTGGATTCTGGATCGCGAAATCGAGTACAACGCTTTTGTAGAATCGATAAGAAATTTATTCAGACTACGCGCAATGGGTATCTCAGCTTTACTGGTCGAAAACGAGATGATATGCCAATTAAATTATAATTAAGAATTATAATTATCTCGTATAGCGTTACTCATGATAATTAAAGAGTATTGCTGTTACTAGCTATTCAAACAACATCATTCTTATAGATGCGTGATTTACTCGTAACACTTATTATTATTTATATTTATGTAATTTTATATTTATTTATTATTTCTTTAGAAACTTATTGTATTTACTATTAGTTGATATTTCGTTTTTAATTAAACAAATCTTCTCATTTCTTTAAGAATTCGTAAAAATTCATTTTTGGCATAGACACATCGCTATCTTGGCACAGATAAAGATTGACAGAGTACTGTGATGGTCCTGATATGCTAGAAAGATCTCTCGGTTTTTAAGCGTGCTGATTTATATACAATAGGTCACCCTATAACGCGATTAAAAAATCGTCGAAAAATAACTATAAAAGTAAAATTTTCCATAAGAAACTAATACAAGCAGAGGACTAACTTAATACAAGTTGGACCAGTATTCAAAAGGGGAATTTCACGCGAAATCCGTAAACCCTCTAAGGCCGAATGTTTTCATCGTGTTGGGATTCTACTCTATTGATATTCTTAAAAGAAAACTCAGAAAAGGGTGGGGAAGGAATGACGTAGACAAGAAAAGGTTCAAGGGTGGTTTTTAGCTAGCGATTCAAATGTTTTGAGCTGATCTATCTATGCTTCTTATTGTTAGCAATTGCAACGCGTTGGCATTTACCTGAATTATCGGGTGTAAAACAATAATAATCAGATAACCTCTGGATTACACAATTGTTAAGTTCCTAAAAAATGCCGTATTATGCGAAACGAAAAACTGTCGAGTACAAAAAACAGGGTTACGTATGAAAGTTTAAAACACTATATTATTTTCGTTTTATGACTAAGAGAAATATGTATATTTAAACACTGGGCCGTATGCGTAAGAATGTTAGATTTCTTATGCATATTCTTTTACTAGTGCTAGATAGCAAATGCTGGGAAATCTTATGTGTATAAGGAAAAAGTTAGCAGAAATTAAGATAAATAATTGCTATACTTGAAATTACAATAATATTTACTTGATGTTTTTAGTAAACAGTAAATCCGATACGTACAAATTGTAAGTATTTACCGGGAAATTCAGTAAATACTGAGAAAATACTGTTAGCCGAATACTGTAAATTTTTCTAATTCTTAAACCGTGTTGCACGAATGCCGTGTTATACGAAGGTCGGGAAAATTTGAAATAAACATTGAATGAAAATTAATGCTGCGAAAGCAGTTGAATGCATTGATGTGTAAGTGATACCACAGTGTATCTGTTTATCATTGGTGATCAAAATGAGAAAAAGAATTGCTGACTTATCTCCAATGGATCAAATTAAAAATACTTGTTGCCGGATTACCTCGAATCGTTATCCGCGTTATTGCTCGGCGCGAGGTGGATGTATAGATGAACGAAATATTGAATAATTTTCATCTGCTAATTGGTGAGATTTTTCATACCTGTTACAATGCAGTGCTTCCGCATGTCAATCATATGAATTGATGTCTAGTCCATTTATGAATATTTAACGAGAACATAAACCGCTTTATCTGGTCTTCACTCTAACTAATCTTAATACATATAACCGCTATGTATCTATACAGGTACTTATTCATTTTAATTATATCACTTCATCGTCTTCGACTAGGCTACGTATTTATTCATCTATACTGCACATCTTACCTATTGTATTTTGTCTGTTCTATTCCTCCTTCTTCTTCTTTTGAAATTTTATAAGAATTTTAAAAAGATAGAACAATTTTTAAATCGGTACAATATAATTTAAAAGGCTGTTTTCGGGATTAAGTTTTCGTAGCCAAGAATTATTTATTATGTATCACTAAATATTTGTTGTTAATACGTATTATTATTAATGACTACATAGTAACTTATTTAAAAAAAATGAAATATCTTCGAATTGTTTTATGATTAATTAGCCGTTCCTTGACCGATTAGCCATCGGTTCGGTACACCCGATCGTCATTACTTTGTTCGTAGTTAGAGCCTCTAAAAGATCATCATTGGTCAGCCAGGTGCATAAAGCTGGCAAATGACCGGTGTCACTTTTCAATTACGCTCTTTTGATCGTAAATATGAAAACGCATAAAACCCCATAGCCCTCTATAAATTGCTCAAGGACGTGGACTTTCGATCGCGTAAGAAAATAAGTATCCGCTCTAAAGAGATTATGAAAGGCATTAGACGTACATATGTACACGCACTCCGCCGTAAATCTAAAGTAAATCTATCGCTAGGTTTTATGTTTCGCTCGGACACTGCGTTTAATGTCCTTCGTTACGCTCGTACATGAATTACACAATAATAGCTCCATCTTTTCAGCCGAGAACTTAAATTTAACGTCAACGCGGTTCCCCTCTCCCGCGAAATCATGAATCTGTTCATGAAAATGAAGAAACTACACAGCAGTAGGCGAAGCTTGGGGAAAATAATATTCGAGAGCTCTATAGGGAATCGACAATTCGTTTCTAAAAATGCGCTGTATCGAGCATATTTATTGCATCTCTCGAATATTGAACTATCGCTTATATTTCTCGTACTACTGGTACCTATTATAGAACTGCTATATAATTCTCGACTAAGTATTTGGTGTCTATTAAGTATTTGGCTATTTAATAAATCCGGAATGTTATTTTGTTAACGATAATGTTTTAAACCTTACACGTGTACTATGCAAACTTAAAATGGATACAATAAGTTAGTATTTCAGAATTATATTTACGAAACAATAGAATGCCATCGATATTCTGAGCTCTTTATAGTTAATCGAATTTACATTAGACACTTTAGTAAACCTACAGATGAACTTAAAGATTTATGAGAAAGAATTTGCAACAGCTCCGCTTTCATTCATCGAGACGACAAGTGATGAATCACTTTCAGTTTCGCTCGGTAGAATTATTCAGTCATTAAACAATGTATCTACTATTAACTATCATTTTCAAAGAAATTGCTATCGTCAATATCCTTTTTTCAACCTCGTCTAATGCGTCGGTTTGAGCAGTCTATTATTACGAATAATTTTATTATACCATTATATTATACCGTATTTGTTATTATTTTTGTTATTATATTATATTTATTATTATATCTTATCTGTAAGATTTATAAGTATCTATACACTTTCCTCCGACCAAACAGTAATACCGAACATTTCAATTTCAGGCGAGAAACCGTACCAATGCACATGGGAGGGCTGCACGTGGAAATTCGCGCGTTCCGACGAACTAACGCGGCACTATCGCAAGCACACGGGTCAGAAGCCGTTCAAGTGCCATCTTTGTCAGCGATCGTTTTCGCGGAGCGACCATTTGTCGCTTCACATGAAGAGGCACTGATAAAGAGGACATTCTAGCCGTCGGAAGAAGAGAGCGGAGGGGAAGAACGGAAGAAGAAAGAAGAGGAAGAAGAAGGAAAAGAAGAGAACGGAGGAGGGGGAGAGGAAGTAAATAGAAAAAAGACCGCTGTTCCGGAGAATCGGGACTGGAATCGTGATCGTGGGCGACGAT